AATATTCTTTTCTGCACTTGAAAAGAATAAATCTTCACTGAAAGGTTCCCACTGGCTCGTCAAAACTACCTATCCTTTCTTCTAAACTTTTTTCACCTAGATCCAGACAGAATAGTTTATCTCTTACTTTTCTGTAAGAGAGCTGACAATTATCAGGTGATTTTCTAGGGGGGAGGTCAAAAAAATTAGAATTTTATATATGAGACCTAATAATTTATATATTAAAAGCTAGAGGGGGGTAAGCCTCTAATAAAAAAAAATCAGGTGATAAATGACACTGCCCTAAGAGAAAAAAAAATATGCCACATCTATGAAAGAAAACAAAACTATCTAGGAAAAGAAAGAGAAAAACAAAAAAAAGAAAAAAAAACATTTAATCGAAAAAAAAGAGGTCCTAAATATGGTTCTATCATAATAGGAACTAAATTAAAAGAGCAGAAAAAAGACATAGGAGTCCTGACGAACCACATTAAAAAAAAAACAAACAAAGGAAACAAAAAGAAGAAAAATACACTATTATAACCCATGCCAAGTATAAAGGTAAAAATTATATCCTAATTGCAACTAATTAATATATTTTAGCTATAAAGCTTTGCTTTAACGTTAGAACTTGTTTCGAACATGTCACCAGGATTGGGTATCTCCAAAACAGGGTTATCGATCTTGTCTCCGTATCGTAGCATCATAGTGATAAACAAAACAAACACATAGTTGCATTCTACTGAGTTTGTTTGAATTAGATAAGTGTAAACAATGCTAATCTTTTGGAGGGGGTAAGCTGGAATGCCCACTTTTTGATAAAATTTTTGTGAGAATGGCAAGAAGGTGGAGTAGAGGAGAAAAACCACTTGTATACAAAATAAAAGAGTATGAGTTTCTTTTACTAGAATAAACTGAGGCCACACCAGAGAATGCACAGTACTAAGTTTTGTTGGTGAGTGATAAACTCTGAGCTTGTCAGCAGTTAGTGTATGAGAACTATCTCTAAATGACAAGTGCTATGTCTGTCACCACAGTGAGTGATAAACTCTAAAAAAATCAGCAGATAGCGTATGAGAACTATCTCTAAATGATAATTGCTGTTCTAAGGTCTCTTTTCTCATATCTTATTATGTCTAGTATAGCCATTTGTATTTTTTCCTAGTAAAAAGTTTTTTGGAAATTTTTGGTAAAAGTGATCATTAAAAAGAGTTCTGTCTATGAAAGAATAAATATTAAGTATTTATTTATTATTAAAATCTATTAATATTTTTTTTTTTTATTTATTTTTTTTTTAAATTTGACGGCCATGTCACATGTCTGCTTTATTGATGAGGTATTACATTTCCCGAAAGAATTGTCTAAATTATATCATGCCTTATGACAAAAAATCTGGAATGTGGCTCACCCGGTTTCCAATTGAACCTATGTGCGACTTGCCAAAGATAAGTTCAATCTCCCTGGTTAGGTTCGGCTTACTTCACTTCAACTGACCCATCACCGGATCACTAACCTAGTTCACCAGCCCGTTATAATTGCCTTTTTTCCCAACCTTCTTCTCCTAGCCTCCTAGATAGAAGAACTACCAATAAAAAACAAAAGAAAAAAACAAATACGAAATAAAAAGAAAACTAAAAAGGGGGAAAGTCTAAACTAAACGAAACTAAAAAAAAAACAAACAAAGTAAAAAGGAAACAAGAAGAAAAGGCCAAAAAAAAGATGGCTATGATGACACTAATATTGCCTGTGTTAGGCTATAGAAATTATATAATGTTGTATAGTAAAAAAATCTAATCTAATACTATATGTATTAAAAAAAGTAGAAAGAAAAAAGAAAAAACATCTAATGTTAAGAAATTTTTATACGTGATCCCTCTGATCCCCTATACTATAAACAGCACCATCATTGTTTATTTGGTAAAGCAGAATCCAAATAAGCTCATGGGAGGTTCCATTTTGGTAGACGCATCCTAATTTGGATAGAGTAAACACTGCTGATCTTTTGGAGGGAGTATGTCAATTTTCCCAAAATTTCTAAAAAAATTTCAAAATTGTGAAAATATGTTTGTAGATATATAGTTGCAGGTACTTCTAAAATTTTAAAGAATGTGTTAGACCACTGGAACTTTGTTGTTTCCCCTGTGTTCTTCTTTGAAGTAATAGCCAACTTGCTTTGTCAACAAAAATGAGCAAGTTTACTACCGCACTTCATCAAGATTTTTATACAAGGGCACCACCTACCAGTTATCTTGTATAATAACGCTCCTGGCTTGCATGCCGAACGTCTACTTTAGAGGAGTCTCTTAGAAAAGCAGTTAACCTCTAGACAAACTGCAAGGAGGCCACGTCTCTTCAACAAAAGTTCTGTTTTCCGTTTGTTAAATTTTAGCTACAAGTGATCGTCAGGAAGAGTTGCTTAAAAATCTATTAATATTAATTTGTACTTATTAATTTTAGTTTATATATTTTTAGATTTTAGCTTAATAATAATATTTAATATTATTTATTTTTTTAGTATAATTATTTTTAATTATTTATAAATATTTTGTATTTATTTTTTTTAACTTTAATATTATAATTATTTTTTTTTATAAAACTATTTATATAGTTGATTTAATATATATAACTAGATGCTGAGAAAAGGCTCTAATTGATAATAAAAAAGATCTTTGAAAAATTAAATTTTATATTATAAATATTATAATAAATTATAAAAAAATACAAAATTTAAAGAGCTATATTACGAAATTTTATTAATATAACTATAGTCAAACTCTGGTTCTCTATTATTTTCTTGATAATATTTTTTTTTAATAATTACTTTTTCTAAAAAATTTTACTAACAATTATTTTTAAATATTTTATTTTCCAATAGTACTTTTATTTTTTTGACATTTTTCTTTCTTTACTATTTTTATTTCTCTAGTAATTATTTTTACAATGATTGTTAAAGTAATTACTATTAAAAAATAAAGTGTTAAAGAAATAAAAGTGTAATAAATTAGCTATTAGAAAAATGAAAGTGTCAGAAAAATAATTGCAATAAATTTTTTAAGAGAAGTAATTGTTAGAAAAAACAATATTAGAGAAATGATAGAAAATCTCAGACTTTTCTAAATATATTTTATCTAAATGCAGCACCTCTCTAACTGTATAATATAAGTTTAAACCTATAGTGAAATTTATAGATAAATGCAATTTTCTTATTCTGTAAATACAGTTAAACCTCTATAAGTGCACACTCTCTTTACATGCACACCATAGCCTAGTCCCAAGCTCGTAACTTAAATGCCCTCTATGTTCTGCATATGCAATGATTTTGGGTTTCATGCATATTAAAAATTTCTCTATAAATACACTCACATGATGATTACATTATGATAGCCAATCAGAAGTCTTAAAATTAAATAAAATTTACGAATTTAATGTTCTTAAATAAATATTTTAATGTTCTTGAGAATATTAAAAAAATAAGTGTTGCCAAAAGAAAACCCGACAACTTAAATATAGTCTATATTTAAATTGTCAGGTTTTTTTTTGGCGACACTCAAATATTAAATGGTCGAAGGTTAATTATATAATACATATATTAATATTATAGTCTTGTGATGATCCATGCTAAATTTATTAGCTAATCCCTAAATACACACCCTCTCTAAGTGCACATGCATGCCTGTTCCCGAGGGCGTGCACTTATAAAGATTTTACTGTATAAGCTAATTGTCTGGTTTATTTATAAAAACTCCTTCTATAAATATATCTATATAATTACTTGCCAATTAAATTTAGGGAAAATCTATTTGTTACTGGCGGTGATACGGTGACAATGCACTATCACGTAATAAACCAAATTTGACTAATAAAAATTCAATATAAATTAATTAACAAATTAATAGCTTAATATTAATAATTAAAAAAATTTTAAGTTTATTACCGAATTTAATATACTTTAAATTTAAAAGCTCAAAGTATAGTATTTTTTTTAATAACTATTTACAAATATAATGTAACTCGATAATATTTATTTTCTAATAATTAATCTAATTGATTTAAAGTTATATTTAATTTAATTTAATGCTAGCATTTGTTGAATTAAATACTATCTCTGACTAGTCAAAATAGATTACGTCGCCCTTAAAGATAAAAATTTTGTTTAAAAAATTGGTTTAAAAAACATGCATGATTTGATCTTAATACTAACTTTAATTATATGCATTGTTTAATATTTAGTTAAAAGCCCATAGCTTAAAAGCGATTGTATTGAGTAAAATTTCCAGACTAAGAGTGTTCTCAAGCATCTTTTACAATTTAATTAGCTAGTAAAAGAGAGTCTCTAATCATTCTTTTTCTTCATTGGGATAATGAACTTGATCAGTTCAACTAATTACTATTGGGCTTCGATTATTAATCTAGATGCTTGAGAGTACTCTAAATCTTACAAGCTAAATAAAAACAAACTTAAAATCATATATATAGATAATATATTATATATAGATAGAATTAGTAATTTTGTAATTATATCAATGCATAATATATAATTTGAAAAAAAAACTAACCGTATTAATTCTGGTCAATAAAAAATCTAATGCACTTTTTTAGTAAAAATAAAGATTTACGTACTATGTATGTATTAATATAATTTTAACTTCGTTGTATGTACTAATATATATAATAGATTTTCAAAATTAGATACTAAATTAAACTAATAAGAGTAATATGTATAATAATAATTAGAATCGTATTGAATTTAAGAGAATTAGCAATACATAATTAAACTTTATTAATATCAGCTATTAGACTATACTTATCCTATTTAAAGATTACTAATTTTTTCTTTAACTCTAATACAATAATTCAATTATACTATCATTCATTTTCATCTCTATAATAACCTTCTATACTTATTTATCACAAGTTGATGCATAATGTCCGACAGCTCCACATTTGCCACATTTATTTTTTGCAGGTTTGTTACTTGAAGTTTTAATTTTGGTTTGTGGTAATTCAATACTGCTTTTCAATCACTTAGTTGAAGGTTGCCCTCTATGCTGTTTTTCAATCAGATTTTCAACTTGACTGGGGTTAAAGTTTTCTTGATCATCATCTCTTACATAAGATAGTCTTTTTTCTTCAGCAAACCAATTATTAAGACTTTTTTTAAGGCAATAAAGAGAATCACCACCTGATTCAACTGCAGTGCGAACTGCCTTTCGGGCAAGATTAAATGTTTCTCCATAATCACATCTTTTTTGAACAGTATGACAAACTTCTGGACTAAAAACATCATCTCCACATAGCTTAATAATTTGCTGCATAGAAAAAAACTTTGGACAAGATAAGTAGTTCTCATTTGGTTCTATTGCACAAGTATTCATGTAGAGTTGTTCGCCCAAGTCTAAATTATGCATTTTTTATTTTTATACCACTGCATAGGTATTAAAGTTATATGAAAAAATGCAGCATTATCAATAGCCAATATATGCCAAAATGCTGACATATTATGCTATAGTTAATTAATAGTATGCATGTACATAAATGTGAGCGGTCAGTAAAAATAGTAATGAAGTTTCTATGGATGCAGTTGTATCGTTGAACCTCATATATCTTAATAATATTATTTGAAGAGAGGTTCTCTAAAAGAGAGGTTAGATGAATTTTTTGTGAATCATACTCTTCTACATTAGGTTTGTCATCAGGTAATTAGTTGCTACTTATTTTGGAATAATAATAAAGCGATTGAGTAATTTCATGTCTCTGTTGTAAAAGCATCTCTTCTGTTAGATTTTCTTCAAGAACACAATCTATTTGAGGAAAACATTCTGCAGATACACCACTCAATTGCACACTTGCATTGGTATAGTTCCATTCAGTGTGATCAATATATTGTGCTTCATCACATAATCGCATATCTAAAATATTAGCAAGCTCACATAGGCTAGGTTAGTCTTGAAGTATATTTTTGATTACAGAATTTTCTCTTTCAACTCGTGATGTAGATATAATACCAGCAGTAAAAAATTTAGTTGTATATGCCTTAGCCCACCTTTCTTTACTAAGATAGAGTTCAAAGTTAAGATAGTCAACAGCTTTTGGATATTTTGTGATGAGTTTATGCTACTATGATTCAAAGTCTGCATGAGAAAGTGCATTTCGACATGCATAGAAATCTTTTAAAAAATCATTGTAAGTATTACTGAGAGGAGCCTTGAGGTTGCAAGTAAGATTTTGTAAAATATGATAAAGGCAATAAAGAGGATATGTGTCACTATATTGACTGTCTATGGCGGCATCTATACCAGGATCAGCATCAGTGATAAAGACTCGTGAAACATGATTAGTAGCTTTTAAAGTAGAGAGAAGGAGCCATTTATACGTTTCTTTTGTCTTATCATTCACTAAAGCTTGTGCGACAAGATGGGTATGAAAATAGTTGTTAACTGCTACGAATAGAGAAAGGGGCATATTATACTGATTGGTTTTATAAGTATTATCATTTAGTATAATGTCATGATAAGTAATCTATCATTGAACTTGGTCTGGTGACATCCAAAATAATTTATCCAGACTATTTGTCTCTTGATGGAGTTTCCAAAACACTTCCCACCCATGTTTTTCAGCTTTTTTAGTAAGTAGGTGTTTTAGAAGTTTTGCAGCATTATTTTCTTTATGATCTATTCTTTTATATTTCTGTATTAAATTATGCAAGTCTCTTGGGTGAATTGTGAAGTTAGAAAACTTTGCAAATAAAAGCCGATATTGAATTGTTGCGCTTAAATTGCCTTCGACTGTATAGAAGCGAACTTTTTGTACAATATCATCAGGGAATGTTCTATATTTTGAAGTATATAAATTTGCCCTCGGGCTAATTGTATGATTATGACTAAGTTCTAGTGATGTTATACTAATAACTGCAGTTTTTTTTGGAAAAGACATATTAACATGCCAACGACAGCCTGATCTTTTAGATTTGCTATTCCTTTGATTTTCTGGGATTACAGTTTTTTTGGGTTCATAAGTACCTTGATAGCCGCATGCAAAAGTGCGTCTTTGTTAAGTTCTTTCTGGAGGTGGATCTCGTTCATTCCTGATCTTAATTATAATAAAATTTTATTGCCAGGCATAATCGTTTAAATACTTATCAACCTCGTCTCATGACTTAAAGACTTGTCCAGCATAAGGCGGTGCAATAATCGGTCATTGAAAGAAAGAACTAAAATATTCAATAGGTTAGTATCTTGTTTATTATAAATAAAAAATAAAATTACAGTGAGTAGTACATACTTCGTGGTCATTATAGCTTGATATTCTGGCTGTAGTATTTCATCGTTGCTATAATCACTAACAGAAATAAAAACTATTAATATTAAATACTATAAGATATAGTCATATTACTGTGATGTGATGATATTAATATCAACTGTTCAATAGCATCTAAATCATTTGATAAATTTTCAGAATTAACTATAGGATTGATACTATTTAATGCATTTGGATAATAACTGTTGTTTGTAACCCTTTGTCCATTAAAAATATCATTCATGCCATTATAAATTCTATCAAATATATTGTTCAAAGTATTAAAGATATTATCATAATCATTATTATTAATAGTATTTAGATTGATTTGGCTACTGAATTGTTCTTCATCATTGTTACTAGACCATACACCATTATTATCACTAGTTTGAATAATTTCGTCATCACTATAATGTATTTTGTTGCTAGGATATATTATTTACTTATGTCATTTTAAGTATTATTATGAAAGAAAGGGTTTATATGAATATTATAAAAAAAAAATCACAAGGGTAACATTTTATCGCCAACAAATCTAAACCACCTAAAATCTAAATCACCAACTTCCAACAGCCAATCTCAACTCAAAACCTAAACACATAACCTCTGAAAAAAGAAGTTATTTAATTAGAATACTTTTTGTTTAGTACAATACACATTAAAATTCGAAAAATTATCCTTTACCTAACTCTGTAGCTTAAGAAAGCAATTTCTTCACTTGTGCAATATGGTACATACACATATATATACAATAGTATATCATAGTTACATAATAGTATGTATATTAGAGTTACATAGAAGCTTTCGTGAGTTAAAACTATAAAAATTTTGATGGTCACATTATAGCAGCCGCTTCAGATGATCTTACTTCATCATGTATATAGTATGTATATATGTACGTACGTACGTATCAGGGACATGTAAAAATTTGGATATCAAATCGCAAATCTTTATTTGGGTATCAGCAAAAATTTGGAAAATTTTGGATTTTGGCCGGTATTACGAAATTAACTTTATAATTTAGGCCATGTCACATTGGGGTGTGCTGTCAACTATGTAGATCAAATCTATGTGTGGTACCATATAAAAATTACTTATTGGAGATTTTTTAT